TAAGGATTACAACAACATCTCTACCATTCTTGACTCTTGGCTGTGTTACCCAGGGTTTTAAACTACGAGAGGGTTTGGACTCAAGTCCTCATTCTCACATGGCAAGCACTTTGTCACCCCCAAGCTGTCTCTCCAGCCCCAACCTCACAGTCTGATGGAGGAAAGGGAGAGAAACTTCAACTAGGGTAGGCATGGTACAGCACACCTGTAACTCCAGCATTCAGAAGACCGAGGCCGAAGGATCAAGAGTTTTAGGCCAATTTGGGCTACCGAACAAGCTTTATTTTAAAAGAGAAGGGTATTCCTCCCTTGGAACCCCTCTCATCCTCTGGAGTTTCCTCACTTTTCCTTAATAAATCCCCATTGCTCTGAAAGTAAATATAATTGTAAACGATAACGAGGTGCCCGGGGAAATGGCTCAAAGCCTCATCCTGTGCACACATGAGCACCCATTAAAAGCTGTGCGGGCCTGCACACCAGCACTGAGGGGTAGATCCAGGGAGCCCAGTGGCCGGCCAGCTAGTCGAGATGGTGGGCTTCGGTTTAGTTAGAGTCCCAGTCTCAACCACCACATGTTCCCGCTCATCTAAGGCTCATCGCTCCAAAGCTTCAGATGAGCACACAGCCTAGAGTGACTGCAGAACCCAGGAAGGTGAAAAGGGACCCCGGCTGGGGTGGGGAAGCAGTAGACAGGGGTGTATCAGAGAACAAGTGATCTGATGGAGAGGAGACGGAAAATAGAGCAGCGCTCTAACTAGGGAGGGAGGAGGGAGGAGGGAGATAAATACAGACAAAGGACAGGAGGGTGAAACAACCATAAACAAGAGTGCTTGAAAAGAAATCACACTACTAACAAGCTACCTAAAAACAAAACAAAAACTGTAATATAATTAAGTCTGTATATAAATATACACATATAGTTTAAATCAAATTTTCTCATCTGGGCTCACAATGTTCCCTCCAAGAACCAAAAACCATCTAATAAAGACCCAATACCAAGCAGGAGAAGCCCTCTTTTCAGTTGTTTGTCAGGGTTGTCCAAGAGACTCTCCCACCCCCAGAGGTGGAAGGCAAGCTCCTATTAGTGAAAACACCATGTACTTCAGACACAGGGCCCAAACTGACCAGAAAGCCTCCTCCCTGAAGACTAGCTTTCTTGGTACCATAAGGCACCATGCAAGCTTCCAAAGGAGGAAAGCAACCACCAGTCCTACCCAGCTCTGGCCGTTATAAACCACATCAACTGGTATGTACAGTAACAGAGTCGGGGTGAAACAGTGGTGCACACACCCTGGCGGTGACCAACAGCTCTCCAGGGGGCCTCAACCTGAAGGAGTAATTACAGGAAACTAGGGAATGCTAAGAGCAGGAGAAACGGTCAGCCCTGAGAACAACCTACACACCAATGGTCGGTCCTGAGAACCTACACACCAACGGTCAGCCCTGGAAACAACCTACACACCAACGGTCAGCCCTGAAAACAACCTACACACCAACGGTCAGCCCTGAAAACAACCTACACACCAATGGTCAGCCCTGAAAACAACCTACACACCAATGGTCAGCCCTGAAAACCTACACACAAGTCATATACAGAATGAGCAGGGTGTGTTTATGTATATAGGAATATATATATGTGTGAGTATGTAACAACAATTAATGAAAAAGAAGCCATAAATTTGGAAGTGCACAAGAATATATAAGAGGGTGTTTACTGGGAGGAAAGGGAAGGGGGAAATTATGAAATTATTTTATAATCTCAAAAAAAAAAAATTAAAAAAGATTTTACAATTAAAAAAAGAAAAAAAGGCCCTGTTAGGTAGGGGTTAGGCAGAGAGGGATAGAACACAGCCGACATTCTCTCCTAGCTTCCTCCTCAGACCTGCAGCCACATAGACACTTGCCCAGACACACACATGTGCACAAACATACACACACCTCCCCCCTCCCCCCTCCCCACCTAATAAGCAACAGTAACTAAAAAAATAAGGGCGGGAGTGTAGTACTGCACAGCTTTTATTTTGGAAGGGAGACTTCTAGACCTCTGTGAGGCCAGCATGGTCTACATAGCATGTTTCAGGCCAGCCAAGGCTACATAATAAGATCCTGTGAAAAAAAGAAAAAGGCAAAGGGGAAAAAAAGGGAAGCGGGAAGGAAGGAAAAGAAGGAAGCAAACCAAAACCTACAAAGGTACTTTCCTAAGACACCGGTTAGCTGTCAGGTCAGTCATAAAAAGAATCTTTACACAAAATACTGCCAAGAGGAAAACTGAAAAGAAAAAAAATCCTTGAAAATAGTTGCTTCTGAAACTAAAAATGGAAAAGGGGAGGAAGGCACAAGCCCAAGCAATGTTACATTTATACAATACCTATCAGCTCAAAAGAAAACCCTCAGTCAGAATCCCCAGGGACAATAACGTGGTAGGGGAGGGGGGTAGTACTTATCTAAACTCTTGATTAGAAAAGCAAAGCAAGCCATTATAGACCCTGCTGTGCAGTCAGGTCTAGAAATCATTGCACGCAGCAGCATCCTGCAAATCAAACACAGGAATGAAAAACTGTCCTCAACTTTTTGTTTGTTTGTTTTGTTTTCCAAGACAGGGTTTCTCTGTATAGTCCTGGCTCTTCTGGAACTCACTTTGTAGACCAGGCTGGCCTCAAACTCACAGAGATCCACCTGCCTCTGCCTCTTGAGTGCAGGTATTAAAGGCGTGCACTACCACAGCCCAGAATGTCCTCAACTTTTAAAGTCACTTAGGCAGAGGTCCATTACAGGTATGTTTTACGTGGGAGGTTGAGGCAAGAGGATCACTTGAGGCCATGGCTCCAAGGTCAGCCAAGGCAACATATTACGATCCTGTCTCAAAAGGGAAACAAAAACTGTATGTACACATATAAACATATATAGAGAGAATAAGAATACCTTTAGACAACAGCAAATGCATCAAATAGAGAAAAATCCAAGAGTCAGAAGTCTACAAATACTAGCCATAATCCAAACGTTTCGACAAGAAAAGCACTCCTGAACAACAACAACAAATAAATGAGACAGAGTCTACAGGACTGAATGACCAAATGGCTGTAAAAAGAAGAGGAACATGTCAAAAACTATTCCTGTGATTCCAGTCTGAATGGCCAGGTGGCTAATGATGTCATTAACAGATGAATGGAAAGCAAAAGGGAAGCTGATTTGAAAGTTAGGAAAATCAATACAGAAAAAAAATTTAAGAGTCTTAGTTACTCAATGGTCTACAACCTAAGTAAAATGTCTACCTCAGTGTTCCTTTCATTACACTGTTTTGTGGTGCATTTTAGGAATGGGGTATTGATAATGATGCCCAGGCTCACCTCCAATTCCTGTGCCCAAGTAACTTCCCTTCCCAGCCTACAAAGTAGCCAACACATGTGGCTGAGTCTTTCTTAAAACTGAACATACACATACCATGCTCAACAATAAGGATCAAAACTCAAAAACACACCGCTTCTACACATTTCAACATACACCCTACACAACCTGGTGGGAAATGGGAGATGGAAGGAGCTCATTTGCCTTGGGCCTATTGAGTCCTGCAGAAAGTGCAGAACTCTCAAATGAAGGCTAGAAAAAGATGCATGGAGAGAGATGGTCGGCCTATGGGAACGATGCATGGAAGCAGCACATGTGGGTGAGAATGCTCAGGGGAAATCTATGGAAGATCCTGTGTTCTAGCAGTAAGGGGCAAATGAAAGAGAGATCAACCAAGACTGAAAGTATCCCCAAGAGACTAGTTTTCCTCATCTTCCCCTTCTCCAAAAGCACACTGGGGAAAAGAAAAAAAAGTCTATCTTTAAGAGAAAGAAAAGCTACCATTCCAGTAGCAGGCACAGAAAGTTACAGGAGCACTCCTTGGATAGTATTATTTAAGTCAGAAAATACTAATGAGCCATATCAAACACAGCTGAGGTAAAGGGAAATGTCTCCCTCCTCCTCTGTAGCACTACTGCTCTGTCACAGGTACTGTACCAAACGTGTTACCCAACCCTCTTCATCCTCATGAGCCTGTTAGGAAATTAGTGCTAGATTTCAACAGCGAGTAGTTCAGACAAATCTCTTAAGGGGCACATTAACTTTCATCCCTGTTATCCTATACCTCTTTATGCCTAACCAGAGTTTCTCATTATTCATCAGGCTAGAATAAGTATTTGTGGACTTTTTTTCTCCTCTGTACTGCTAGCCTCTCCATGTTGGAGCTTGTGTCCTTCATTACTTTATCCTTACAGCTTTAAAAAAAAAAAAGAAAGCCCCGTAAACATTTTGTTCAAATGAATATCTAACAACTAAGTGAAGAGTGGCAACAAGAAAGCCCATACAAGCTGAGAGGTGGTGCCTTTAATCTCAGCAGTGGCAGACGCAGAGGTAGGCGGATCTCTGTGACTTCGAAGCCAGCCTGGCCTACAAAGCAAGTTCCAGGACAGTCAGGATTGTTACACAGAGAAACCCTCGAAAAACTAAAAAGAAAAAAAAAGTCGATGTAAGAATTTTTTTTTAAAAAATGCATTGTCAATAGCGTCAACTGATGAAAAAAAAAAAAGTCGTCAGTATATCTAATCACTGTCACTGAACTATCTTATTAATTTAGCCAAGATCTACTCCAGACAGAAACAACATTATGTTAAGCACTAAAATATATCAGATAAAATCTGATACGTTATCAGAAGGTTTGGGGCAAGCAGCCTCATCTAAAACCGTTCAGGAAAGCCATCAGTGTCAAGACAACAAATGCTTACATCGTATTTGGCTCGGGTAAATCTGAAGACAAATTAGAAGGGTAACAGCGCATCCTTTACTAAAACTTGCGATAGAGGACGAGCGGTAACAGTGCCCGGACACCTCCGCCTCGGCGATCACAGCCTGTGGCGACGTCAGAAGACTCCCGCAGGAGCGTCTCGCCCAAACTAGGGCTCCGGCTGCCCGGGGCTACCTTCTCAGTCGCGCAGAGCGAGGAAAAGCCCCACACTCACCGCAAAAGGGCACCCCTCGAGCCGTGGCCCCACAGGGCCGGCGAGTCCTTGGCGAGGCCCCACGCCGCAGACGGAAACCCGGGAAACACTGGAAGCAGGAGGCCAGGGGCGACCCCGCAGCCCAACTTCCCAGCTTCATAAACCAGGGGCCCAGCGCCCAGCAGCACCGTGAAGCCAACTCCCACCAGCTGGAACACCGACGACTGCCACCGAACCTTCCGCCCAATGAGGAGACGTCATCACTCAGCGTGGTCCAGCCCTTCGCGAAGAAAACACACTTCCGCTTCCGGGGCGCCAAGCCGCCGCTGCGCGGCTGGCCTCCGCTGAGGGTTTAAAGGGTGTTGCTGTGCTTGAGCTGACCTTTGACCTCAGTATGCCACCCGGACGTCACTGCGGCGGCAAGCTGGCGGCGGAACCGGCCCTGTCCCCGGTGCAATCTCGAGGGAGACGTCAGGAGCCACCTTGAGAAAAAGCGACTAGGCGACAGCGTGCACGGCCGGGGGCGAGGGGGCGAGGCTCGGGGGCTTCTGCAGCCGCGAGAGGCGGGATTCCCCCCGAAGGGGCGGGGCTTAGCGGCTCGGCCCCCGTGAGGGGAGGCTCCGCGGGGGGTGGGGGTGGGCGGGGTCTGGCTGCGCGTGCTCAGTGCGATCCTGTCCCTGTCCCGCCAGCCCACTGCGCCATGGACTTTGGCTCCGCTCGGCGAGCCGTGCTTCAGCTGCTCGGGACTACGGCTCCAGCAGATGTCCCGGCCCTGCTCCAGTGGATGAGAACTACCCGTAAGCGGTCATAGCCAGAGCCCGGCGGTTTGCTGCGGGCTTTGATCTTTCAGGACAGGGTGGGGCTGTGCGCCGAGTCTCTAGGCAGCTCTTGAGCGCCGCACACCTCATGCCTGCTCATCCCAGTGCATTTTAGGATTGGATGCCTGAGAACCAACTTTAGGTGGTTTTGTGGTTCCCCTGCCGACTTTAGACAGGCTTCTAGAACCTCGTTGTTCAGTTACTCGCTTAGGCGGATTGTGCTTGGAATGGCAATGTTCAAAAAAGGTTTTTGGCTGTAGAGTTATCTTCAAGGTTTAAAACCAAAAAATATGTAGCTAGTACATTTTTTTATACATGGCAAAAGAGACCATTTAATAATAATCTTTCAGGGGGTAAGATGTAAAAAAGACTTCTTTTAAGCTGTTAATAGTAAAAGTGAAAAGTCACAAATTAGAATGGAGGAAATGTGATTAGATCTAGTTATTGGATAAAATTGATCTTTTCTAGCAGAGGAAAGCCTGCTGAAAGCACTGTCTTATTTATATGCTATCCCCTTTTTTGAGAACTGTATCAGTGTATGCTGTCCTTCCATACTGCAAAACGTTAATTCCCAAGGTTGCTTTCATTCAGACCGATTACTTTAAATATTCTTATTTGGTGGTGACCTCTAAGGTCTTGTTATTTTTTGAGACAAGGTCTCTTGTAGGACTACTTAGAACTTCTGGTCCTCCGACATCATCTCCCTGTGCTGGGTGCTGGAGGTCAAACCCAGGCCCTTATGCTTGCTAAGAAAGCAGTCCACACCTTCTGAGCTACACCCTCAACCCCAGCTTCCAACTTGAGACCTTCAACCTTGACCTGTTAGGAAAAAGGGTTTTTGGTGTAGAGACAGTTAATGCCTTTAGATATTATAATAATGATTGTTAAACATTTTAAGAGATCATTTTAAGTGAGACACCAAACTAAAGTTGGCTTGAGGCAGCATCTATCTGATGGCAAAGTTTATCCTGGAAAGTACAGGAAACCAAAGATACCACTTATATACACATACAAGAAGAGTGTTTCAAGACAGGAATTCACAAAATATGCTTCTCTTGAGACAGGGTCTCACTATGAACATGTTGTCTGTCTTCTATCACTTCATTAAGCCCTAACTTGCCTGTTTTATCCACCATCACCCAGTTATTTGTGACAACACCAATTTCCTTCTAGGTTTTTTTTTCTTTTTGGTTTTTCAAGACAGGGTTTCTCTGTGTATCTTTGCTTGCGCCTTTCCTGGAACTCGCTTTGGAGACCAGGCTGGCCTCGAACTCACAGAGATCCTCCTGGCTCTGCCTCCCGAGTGCTGGGATTAAAGGCGTGCGCCACCACCGCCCTCCTTCTAGTTTTTCCACATACTTCAGTATCTGGTCATTTATTCCGAAAGCATTATTGATTACGAAAATACAGTGTTGGGACTGAAGAGGTAGCTTATTGGTTAAAGGTTCAGGCTCACACCCAAAATGTATCATAGGCTGGAGCAATAGCTCGGTAAAGTGTAGGGTCTCTGCAAGTACCAGGGCCAGCAGAGTAATGACCCTAGTGAGACAAGAAGAAAATTCAGTTCAACATGACTCATTAGCCAGTGCTGGTTTGAGCTTCTAGAATCTAACACTGGGCAGTTTGTTTTAGGTGTATTTAAGTATAGTACAATTTGGAAAAAAGCTTCCTGGTGTAACACAATCCTGTGTGCACAAGGAGGCATAATTATTTGGAAACTCTTCTCAAAGTACATGTCACTTTTTCCATGAAGATGGGTTCTAAAGATAAGCTACATGTGTTATCTTAAGGGTCTGGGGGAGGATCTGGTGTGATCTTGGTCATACAGGTAGCACAGAGGTCATCTGGTTCTGCTTAAGGGAGCTTGGTATGGCCTGACCCAACAGACAGCCCCAGGATCACCTAGTGCAGGGCTTCTCAACCTTCCTAATGCTGCAACCCTTTAATACAGTTCCTCATGTGGTGGTGACCCCCAACCATAATTATTTTGTTGCTACTTCTTAACTGTAATTTTGCTGCTGTTGTGAATCATAATGTAAATATCTGATATGCAGAATATCGATATGCAATCCCTGTGATAGGGTCCAAGACCTACAGATTGAGAACTACTGACCTAGGCTATTAGCTACTTCCAGTCTCAGACTTCTGAGAAGAAAATCAGGTTATAAATCTTTTCCCTTTGTCTTAATTAGGGTTTCTATTGCTGTGATGAGACACCATGACCATGGCAACTCTTATAAAGGAAAACATTTAATTGGGGCTGGCTTACAGTTTCAGAGGTTTAGTCTATTATCATCGTGGTGGGAATCATGGCTGTGTGCCATCAGACATGGTGCTGGGGAAGGAGCTGAGCGTTCGGCATCTAGATCCACAGGCCGAGAGCTGACTTGAGCTTCTGAAACCTCAAAGCCTACCGCCTAGTGACACACTTCCTCTACCAAAGCCACACCTACTCCAACGACACCACACCTCCTAATAATGCCACTCCCTATGGACCAAGTATTCAAACACATGGGTCTATGGGGACCATTCCTATTCAAACCACCACACCCTTGAAAAGACAGCCTTGCACCTAAAACATTCCTGGTTTCCCTAGTGCTGTTTGTGAGTGCCAAGGACCTTTGTGCTCCTGAAGGCAAAGTGCTTGATGCACAACCATGAGGACCTGAGTTCCATCTCTACTTCTCTTCGCCTCCAGACTGCTTGGATTACAGCCTGACTGTGTTATATCCTAAACCCTAAGTGTATTAATATAAAAAGTCACATAAAAAAGCCTGACAGTGGCTCAGCAAAGTGACCCTAGCACATGGAGTCCCGGCTCCGGAGAATCAGACATACCAGTTCCGGGGGTCCCTAATCAGCCAGCCTAGCCTAATTGGTGAGCGCCAGGTCCCAGTAAGAGACCATGTCTCAAAAACAATGTAGAGGGCCTGAGAAACAGCTCAGCGGTTAAGAGCACTGGCTGCTCTTCCAGAGGTCCTGAGTTCAATTCCCAGGAACCACAAGGTGGCTCACAACCATCTATAAGATATGGTGTGTGCAGATCCTCTGGCATGCAGGCATATATGCAGGCAGAACACTGTATGCATAATAAATAAATCTTTAAAAAATTTAAAAAAACAAACAATATGAAGGCACCTGAGGAAGACAGACACTGAGGTCCTCCTCCGGCATCCACATGCATGCAACACACAAATGCACTGGTGCCTTTCTCTGGCACTTGCACGGTTACTAAAATAACTTCCCCCTTAGCCTTGGTGCATTATCTGTAATTGAAATCCCCAGGTTTAGAAGCATCAATTGAGACTCTTGTTCAAAATTGGATTGACTTTAAAGTCTGTTCTGGATGTTAATTTAGTAAAAACATAGTCCCAATATCACTGAATAAGAAGTATGTTTTTACCTTTATTTTTAAGTTTTAGTTTGTATGAGGATGTGGCAGGAGGAGCATACCACAGTGTGCATGTGAAAATCAGGACAACTTGGGAAAATTGGTTCTCTCCCTCTACCATGTGCATTCCTGGTATCAAACTCACATTGTCAGGCTTGGCAGCAAGGGCCTTTGCCCACTGAGCCATCCCACCAGTTCTGTTTTTTTTCTTTGTAAAAATTTATTTTTATTCATGTGTCTGTGAGAGTGAATGCCACATGTGTGCAGGAGCTGCAGAGGCCAGAAAAGGGTGTTGAATCTCTTGGAACTGGGGTTCCCGGCAGTGCAGGAGCAGCTGCAGCAGCAAGGGACCCTAAGCACTGAGCCCTCTCTCCAGCCACCGCCCACCCTTTCATAAGGGAACTTTTATGCCACTCTGCAGCCAAGCTTCTACTCTGGAAGTCTGTAATTAGAAAACAACTTGAGTTTCTAAAGAATGTTTAAGCCGGGCGGTGGTGGCACACGCCTTTAATCTCAGTACTGAGGGGCTGGAGAGATGGCTCAGAGGTTAAGAGCACTGGCTGCTCTTTCAGAGGTCCTGAGTTCAATTCCCAGCAACCACATGGTGGCTCACAACCACCTGTAATGAGATCTGGTGCCCTCTTCTGGCCTACAAGGACACATGCAGACAGAACACTGTATGTATAGTAAATAAATAAATCTTGCCGGGCGGTGGTGGCGCACGCCTTTAATCCCAGCACTCGGGAGGCAGAGCCAGGCGGATCTCTGTGAGTTCGAGGCCAGCCTGGACTACCAAGTGAGTTCCAGGAAAAGGCGCAAAGCTACACAGAGAAACCCTGTCTCGAAAAACAAAAAAATAAATAAATAAATAAATGAATGAATCTTTTAAAAAAAAAAATCCCAGCACTCGGGAGGCAGAGCCAGGCGGATCTCTGAGTTCGAGGCCAGCCTGGTCTACAGAGCAAGATCCAGGACAGGCTCCAAAACAACGGGAAAAAAAACCAGAATGTTTACTAATGTGAATATTTTAAGAAATTAGATTACTTGAAGGAGTGTTTTGTTTTGAGTTTTGTTTTATTTTTGCCTAGTTGGGTTTTTTGTTTGGTTGGGGTTTGTTTTTGTTTTATTTTGTTCTGGTTTTTGGTTTTTTAGACAGTGTTTCTTTGTGTAGCCCTGGCTGTCCTGGAACTATCTCTTAGAACTACCTCTGCCTCCCGAGTGCTGGGTTTAAAACATGTGCCCCCACTGCCCACTTTGTTCTGGTTTTTTAAACGAGTCCCATGCTATAGCCCAGGTTAGCCTTGAACTGG